GCCAACCTAGGGAAGTCTTGGAGGGCAGACCCTAAATTGTATAGATCCCTCCCCTCCACTTGGAAATGCTTGGCTTGCAGATATCTTTGGACCCCATGGGGAGAGGTCAGCATTGAAAACGTCACTGTGCCCATTTACCCTCTTTGTCAAAGAAGGGAGCAACTTGAAACTTGAGGAGTTCCTGAGTTTTGCAGAGGATGATCTGAAGTTTGAGTCCTCTCTGTCTGGAGGTTCCCTGAGTCCTTGGCCTACAACCGTCACTGGCATGGGGCAACTCCATGGTCTACCTTCTCCATTGTCAGCCACCAGGACGTCAGTGACTGAAAAGCTCCTAGCAGATGAGAAAAGCAACTCCATTCTTAAGAAGATGTAATAACCAAAAAAGAAGAAGGAGAAGGAGAGGAAGAGGAAGAGGAAGAAGAGGAAGAGGAAGAAGAAGAAGAAGAAGAAGAAGGAAGAGGAAGAAGAAGAAGAAGGAAGAGGAAGAAGAAGAAGAAAGAAGAAAGAAAAGAAGAAGAAGAAGAAGAAGAAGAAGAAGAAGATTTAACAATAAAATGGGAGAAGAAACAAAGCCACCAGAATCATTCCCTATGATAATAAGCCTTTTCAGGGAAACAGACACCATCACGATGAAACTTAGTAAGAGCACTTGCTTTTAGCAAAGCAACCAAAAGACCTGGAAGAACGAAAAAGTATGGTTGTTCCAGACCAAAAATGTCAAAGTAAGAAAGAGTGATCTTTGTTGAAACTTGAATTCATCACCTAGAAGATCAAGTGAATGAAGCACTTGACTCACACAAAATTAAGTCCTAAATAATAAAAATCAGGTGGGAAGAGTAAAATCCCTTAGAATATGCAGAGGAGACCCCGTGTGAATAATCAGCAGACCAAAAAGATAAAAAAGTTGGAGGCGAATGGGGCGCCTGATGGTACCTTTGGTTAAGTGCCCAACTCTTGGTTTCAGCTCAGGTCAGGTTGTGAGATGTAGCCCTGCATCGGGCTCTGGGCTCAGTGGGGAACCTGCTTGAGGATTCTTTCCTCCTCCCAACGCCTCTTGCTCATTCTCCCTCTCTCTCATTCTCTGTAATATTAAAGCTAAAAAAAAAAAAAAGAAAATGAAGGTGAAGCGATAGTTGTTCGCACAATGTATGAAATTTTCTAGGCTAAAGAAAATCTTTGTGTCACCACATGAAAAGGGCCCACCATATTCTATGCAAAATTCCTTAATCATCAAATTTTTAAAAAATTTTGAGGAAGAAAAGTAATAGAGCCAGAAGATGCTAGAATGATATCTACAGATTCCTAAGGGAACAGGACTATGAAGAGTCAACCTTAAAAGAGACACACAAAAATCACCTAATCCATCCAGGTAAATTTCTGTTCCAGACATACTCCATCACACTTTCTAAGTCATTTCTTCAGATCATCACCACTCTCGTGGTTTCTAGATCATCACCGCTTGTTCCTGTTTCTGTGTTTATTTTCTGTCTCTGCTACTAGAATGTGAGATGCCTGATATGCAGGGAATCTATTTCCTGTCTTGGTAGCTCTTAAAACAAGTATCAGTTGATTAACTGCCCACCTTAAGTTTTAGAATTTAAAGTATTTTATAGAGTAACTTGTAATATGTAAAATGTTTTGGACTTGAAGGTATAGTTTTTAATATCCATCTCAGGGCATCTGGGTGGCTCAGTCAGTTAAGCATCCAGCTCTTAGTTTTCGGCTCAGGTCCTGATCTCATGGGTGGTGAGATCAAGCCCCACATCGTTGGGGTCCATGCTCAGTGGAAATCTGCTGGGATATTCTCTCTCTCTGCACTTTACCCCACTAGCTCTTTCTCTCTCTCTCCCAAACAAGAAAATCTTTTTTAAAAAGTAAAATAAAATTCATCTCCTATCAGATTTGTACCAGAGAAGTGAATCTTATCTATTGACATTTTTTTCTAGTTCAAAAGATAAGATTTTTTAAAAGTCTACAGAAATTGTAATCAAGATTTTAACATGGTGGAATAAATGTGAAAAGCACTGTCTTGGTTATGCTGTATTAATGTATGTTTTCTTTTCTTATTAAAGTAAAAAAAAAAAAAAAACCCAAAGCAAGAACGCTGTCTTTCTAAACATAAATATATTTGAATGTTTATCCATTCAAGTGAGCGAATGCTCTGTGTTGGGAGTTAGTTCTTGGCTTCTGCACATGGACGGAATGGCTTCTAGTAACAGCATGATGCTGGGGGTTGAGGGTCACCTGTGGGTCCAGGGAGCCCGCCTTTGTGCAATGATGTGGGATGGCCTGGTGGTCTGAACTTGGCCTTCTGATGGAAAATGCTTAAGCCCGAGTGCCATGTATCTGTCCCCCACAGCAGGAGAGGAAGGTCGTCCCTCTGCTGTTCAGACTGGAGGATGACGTTCGTGATATTCACCATTTAATCAGCATTTTTTTTTTCTAAATTTATTTGACTGACAGAGATCACAAGTAGGCAGAGAGGCAGACAGAGAGAGAGGGGGAAGCAGGCTCCCCACTGAGCAGAGAGCCCGATGCGGGGCTCGACCTCAGGACCCTGAGATCATGACCTGAGCCGAAGGCAGAGGCTTAACTCACTGAGCCACCCAGGTGCCCCTAATCAGCATTTTTTTTAAGATTTTATTTATTTATTTTTTTTTATTTTATTTATTTATTTGACAGAGAGAAATCACAAGTAGGCAGAGAGGCAGGCAGAGAGAGAGGAGGAAGCAGGCTCCCTGCTGAGCAGAAAGCCCGATGTGGGGCTTGAACCAGGACCCTGGGATCATGACCTGAGCCCAAGGCAGATGCTTAACAATTGAGCCACCCAGGCGCCCCCACATTTTGCTCTTAACCCATACTCTGTTGTCTTATCAAGAGGATGCATACTCCATTTGCAAATAAGATTATGAAGTCTTTGAGGACAGGGGCTAAGTATGTAAGTTTTCTGAAATCCCCTTTTTTTTAAAGATTTTATTTATTTATTTGACAGAGAGAAATCACAAGTAGGCAGAGAGGCAGGCAGAGAGAGAGGAGGAAGCAGGCTCCCTGCTGAGCAGAAAGCCCGATGTGGGGCTTGAACC